CAAGCTCCAAACCGGAATATTCATTTAAGACCTCATAGTCTACTTCTCAAAATCATATACTATATTTATAGGGAGGAGGTTGGGGATCTCAATTGTAATACACTTAAATAGTAACATCAACTAAATAGGCCAATAAACTATGTCACTTGACAGTGAATATTGAAATAGATCTAATTTCTATAGAAAAATGTAGTGTTTACTTTCCCTCTGTTATCACCTGTGAATAATTAACTCATCTCTTTAGCTCCACCTAGTTGTCCTTATGTTATTTTTTTTCTCAATTAACTAGAATCCTTAATACAGTTTATAGTATCAACCTAAAAATAAAATATCCATTGAAAAGTTTTTTACATAAAATTTGTAATTTTTCATAAAGTTTTTTTCTAGAAATACAACGCATTCATTAGTTAGGATCATACTAATTTCCCTTGTCTTGATATTCAAGTTATTAAACACAACACTTTATATACAGTAGCTGCTCAATATGCGAGTGAATGAACTAATAAATCAATATATCTATCTTTTCAGTTTACTAATACTTTCTCTGGTTTAGCCTAAAGAAGAATTTAAAGCTTCTGATTCTTTAGCTCATCACAGTTTTACCCAGGGCTTCTCAGACTGTAATTTCTCTAAACTCAAGGTAGTTCTAGAATTTAAAGATAAATATTTTTCAATATGGCCTCAAAATGCCGGACAACTATGTAATCTAGTGTTTATTCAAGGAAAGCAAATTCCTTTCCCACAGAGAAGGGAAATCTAATTGAGGGCATGTTGGTCCCCAAATGACAGTTTCTAAGGGATTTATAAAATTTATGTATGCTTTTCCCCATGGTAGTTGATATTTTAGAGCCTACCCTCCTCTACTCCCACCCCGCCCACCTCCCGCACGCCATATAAGGTGTTCAGTTGTACAAACAGCGGTGCATGCCCAAGCAGTCCAGTCTACCAGCTGGTCATCCACATCCCAATACTTCTGCCTCCTACCTGTCACCTCACCCCAGCAATCGTGTAGCGATTTTACAAAATCGTGCTTCCCAGGAGACCTAGGGTAAATAAAATTAGTATTATTATAGAAAAGAAAGTCCTTTAATTTTCCTCTGGGGTAGGTGGCACTTTGCTTTTCAAAAGGCTGAACTTGATTCTCGGTGGGAAAGTGGATCTGGGCCGTCCTAGACAAGTCTGTCCTTGGTGTTCCCGCCTCCTCCTTTACATACTTCCCCTCCTTCCTACCTTGAAGTGCTGTGTCTGCCATGGTTTCCCCACCACGACACGCCCTCACACCTGTCCTAAGTCTCATTGCTCTCTGTACCTTTCCAAAACACTTCCATCAGCAGCAGAAAATATGAAAGGCAAGCTAATCTGTCATAGGGTATACATGGGAATGAAAAACCATCGGTGAAGCCAAGGTTAAGCCTGGAGCTTCGTCTCCAGCTTGAGGCAAGCATGACTGACAGGTTTCTCAGGTGCGAGTGCAAAGGGGTGAAGAAAGGGACAGGAGTGGTTTCCTGCTCAAGGGGTGAATAACACAATGGCGGGAATATCCGTTTGAAGCCATTTAATTGGGGAGATTAAATGGTTCATTTGTAGGATAGGTTCACTTTGAGTCTCTTTACTATGACTAAGTTCTGGTACTTCGTACAGATATTTTTACTTTATCCCTTGGGCTCTAAGTCCCTCAAAGTCTTTTAGATTCCATGCAAGCCCCTACCACAGTGGGCTGGCAAAAATAACCCGCTGACCTGAGTCTCCCTTATTATAAGAATGAATTATGTAGTTTTATACAAAGTAAAGGACCATTTCTTTAAATAGAAATTAACAAACATTTTTTGGGAGCATATTTGCATAAACTATTTGCTGTTAGGTACAACACTCCGTTTGGGATATGCTCGGTAATGGTATTATATAATAACAGAAGCATTTTATGTTTTTAATTTCATGGATTATTAGTGGTACATTCAAATTTTGTTACTCTTGCCTGAAACAATACATATTTTAAATGGCTTCTTAATGCTATTTTTCATTTGTCTAGTGGCTACTCTTAGGATGAGATTTTTCTAAATATGCTTTAACGATGGGCAAAGTGCAAAACAGAGTAAACCCTCCCCAGTTTCTTCAAGAGATCCAAATAACAGGTCTCACAGGGTGGAATTTAGATTCAATATAAATGTAACTTGCTAGTGATAGTTATTCCAAAGTAGAAACAGTAGCTTTCCTGAAGGAGTGAAACATAGACAGGAGCATGAGCTGGCTTCCTCTGAGGTTCCTGCATCACAGGAATGTTGATTAGACAACCTGCAAAGCCCCTTGCAGGATCATGAGAATCTTGAGGCTCAAAATACACTGAGGTTGTGTAGAGACATTACTAATCGTTCCATATTAAAAATGGCCACAAGAGGGAGTATAACATCATAAATATTTCCTTCCATTTGCCTGGCTTCTGGTAAATGAGCAAGAAAGCAAGATTCGACTGCAAATACCTAGAGTTTATTTCATATTCTAATATTTTTCTTATTAAAATATGAAATATACTGGTAAGCAAAAGAATTGTTAAAAATCAGTGTAGTGTAAACTATGTAACAAATATTATTTTTATTTCTATATGTAAAGAAGTCAGATTTTAAAATCATTATGTTGAAATAGAAGATAGATCAATTATCTGTGGCTATCATTGTAAAACACCTTGGTTTTGCATTGTGTGTATCTTACCAAATTTGTTAGGTCTGTGGTCATTATTGTTTTAATTGCCATAGATATCATTCTAGTATTTACCTGTTAGCCTGCTACTCTCTGTTATGGCTTTCCCAGACATTTACGATAACTGCATCACTAGAGAACTGGTTTGATTATATAGTAACAAAATCAATGTTAAATTCTTAAGTTTTTAAAAAAAGACTGCTTACCTGTCCTAGAAAAATTTAAAATAGATATTTCTCAGGGATAAACGCACTGCTTACTTTAGGATGACTGGATCTGCATTTACCTCATTTTTACTTTTATATTTCTGTTAAAAATTTGTTTTTCCCAGTTCCTGTAAATAATTTGAACTATAGTCAAATTCCGATGTTAACCTCCAAGTTCCATTTTGCATTGAACTTTTTATGTTTGAATATTTGGAGAAAAAACTAAAAGTAGTTTATAATCTATTTTGAAACACTGAATATTAAAACATCATTTTAAAAGCTCAAAAGTAAAATACTTAGGAAAAGTTGAGATATTAGCTTTTTATTGACAAAATACATTTTAAACTGTATGTAATTTTCATAAAGGAAAAGGTGCATGCATGTTATTTCAAATGTATTTTAATACAAATTGATTTCTTAGCATCTAAACTATTTGAAATACGTTTCTGAGTTTTTAAGAATCCCCCTCCTGTGAGCGTCAATGGCCACAAAAGAGCTTACTCCTAACCTCTCAGGTCACTGCAAGTTGTTGCTTCCGTTTAACTTAAACGTTTTTTTTTTCCATTGCAATTTAAAAAAAGAAAAGAACTTTGTAATTGTTGAGTCTCCGTGGAAATGGCTATATTATTTTGATTTACATTACCTTTTAATGAGAGGTTCGGGGTAGGGGGTGAATTTTGCTCTGCTCCTTGGTTCCTCTTACATCTGCTCCAGCTCGTCCGAATGATGCTGTCACTGGGTCAGATCCCCCACTAACCTATTTGTAAATGAAAACAAATCTCCAACCTTCCGCAAAGGCCAGGCTTCTCTGTTATAGTTTTATTTTATTTAGGTTTAGAAAAGTTTAGTATAAAATTAATATTTATTGTAAACAACCAAAAATATGTAAATGGTACTGAAGGACAAAAATTAAAAGGTACATTTTTTTCTCCTTCTCGTAGGCTTTGCTATCTCTCGGTATAATCCAAATCTTCTGGGATATTTTCTATACAATCTTGTATATAGTCACATTATTATACATGTATATTTCCTTTTCTTTTTTACAAAAGTAGAGTCATCTGAAAAAATACTCTTCAGTGGCTTGCTTTTTCCACTTACAATGTATTTTTATGATGTTTCTGTGTCAGTACTTACAGAGTTACGTCATCTTTTGTAGTTGCATAAAAACCCGTATTTTATTTTGACTGCAGTTTCTCATTGATAGGCATTTGAATTGTTTCCAGTATTGCATTATGTCAAATAGTGCTGCAAGGCAGAAATTAGAATAAACATCTCTAGGAGCTTGTGCATGTCCTCCATTTTTATAATCAACATGCTGTAGATGCTGAGAACATGGCTGACTTATTATTTACTTTTTATTCATGGCCTGACTATTTCCACAAAGCTTTTAACATGTCTGTGTTTTATGTTGGTCTGTGTCTCTGAAAGATATTTACTTTTACCAACAAAACATGTTGGTGGCCAACAAGTGGATTTCAAAACAAAAGAATGCTAATGTTTCTGAGTAGATTTTTACTGGAAAGTGAAAGAGAGAATCATTTGTCTCAATAATTCAGGTGGTAAACCCTTAAGCAAAAGACTGGAAGAAAAAAAATCCCGCATGAATTACCAGAACCACTGTGAGTTGAGATCATGTTGATTCAGTATGAGACTGACTATTGGATATTAATATTTATTCTGTTGTTGTTAATTAAATAGCTTGCACTGAGTGACAGGTAAAAATGTCATGGGCACACACTCTGGAGTACTCTGCAGTAATTTAAAGCAACAAACATCTGTCCCCAGAATGACATGAACATATTGTAAGAACACTGTTGACAGATTAAAAGTAACACAGAATTTTTCAAAATCTTTACAAATCAATATCCTTTATCATACTGGTGTAGCTGTGAATGATGGTGTATTTTGGCAATGACTGTAGCTTACCTGTATTCTGGGTCTACCTGGGACATTGTTCAAGGTGATTGAACTGCTGGAAAGGTGAGGGATACACGATTGCATTAAAGCTTTCTTATACAATAACATGACCCTGACGTCAGGACACAAGAGGAGCCCAGGTAGCTCACTGTTTGACCTCTCCTTCCAGGCTATTTGAGGAGATGTTCCAAGAGTTGGGAGCCGGGCCTGAGAGTGGGTAGAACTGTCCAACAGGCAAGATTCAGAGCCAAAGGTAACCGAAGAATGCATCTTGACTGAATGATAAAAACAAACTGCTAACACTTCCACAGCACTTCCTCTGTGCCAGGCCCCGTTCTCAGCACTTGACACAAAATCCTCACAACAAAGCGATGAGGTGAAGAAACTGAGCTACAGAGAAAAAGAGCAACTTGCCCAAGATTTTTCTGTTTGCGTAGAGTGGAACTGGAATTGAAATGCAGCAGGACTGACCGAAGAGTCTGGCGTCTTATCCACCATTGCCCCTTCGAAGAGGGTGGGGAAGGTGAAATAATCCATCAGCACGACCTGTTTTATGCGGTAGGGTGCAACGGGCTTGCAGAAGCACTGAGGGAGGCTAAATCCAAAGACCTGTAGGGGAGGCCTAGCAGAATGGGGGTAAAAACGTCAGGAAGAAGGACTTGGGAGAAATCCCCAGAGGCACCGTTTGGTAAAGGCCAGGAGGAGAGGGTGGTGCTGTTGCAGGCCCTGGTCTCGCTGGGGGAGGCAGGGGCTCTGAGGCTTGGTCAGCCCATTTGTGTAATGAGATTCCAGTCCACTGTGTCCCTCCATTTGTAGAGCAGATTTGAGAATAATAAATTTGGCATTGTGGAGACAGCCAAATCAGGATTCTGGAAACGTGATATTTTTTGTTTTGGTGAGGTTGGCAGCCCTCTCTGTGTCTCCTTTCTGGATGAATAAAAACCCCAAACATCATGAGCCGGATGTTTGAATACTTCTAAACCCTGTAATTTTTAAAATTGTCTGTTCCTGGCCCCTTCCCCACACTCCTGGCCCAGCTGATGTCATGATGCTTTTGCATTCAGTTTCTTTATTTCCTTTGACTTTCGAGTGAAGAAAGTGTGATTGGAGTTTGTTTTCTCAGCAAGGTGATGGCAAAAGGATATTTATAGCATTGAAGAACTTGTATTTCCTCTCAGGCATTTAGGATGAGTAGTATATTTTAAATGCTACTCTCCAGGATATCTCCCTTCTGCTGAGATAATAAAATTGATCAGATGTTTTGAGGTTAAATAAACTGTTGTAATAATCTGGCAGCTGCCTGCTGGTTGTGGTTTGCAAAAGCAATTACTCACTCTGGAGTCAACTTTGAACTCTATATTTTAATTGAAAAAGCTAATTGTTGGCTATTGCTCCTGATTTAGTATTTGATTTGGCAGATTGGGAAGTAAAAGGACATTGGGAAGGGAGGGGAGAGGAAGAGAAAGTGAGCAAAAGTGTTGCTGAGCTCAAATCCCTGATTATATATGAGAGTTTTCACACACAACATATTGCCTGCTAACTGGGGAACAAACAGTTGAACTGAAAGGTTTCTGAGGCATCTGCCTGAGACCAGTGTGCAAAATCCTTATTTGTGATTTATTTGCTTATTTCTTACTCTGTGCGTGGGTGGGTGGGGGGAAGCCTATAAATATTAATTTCTAAACTTTAATTCAAATATGAAATTTCAGGAAGAATGTTCTTAGACCATTCTTAAATGTCTGATCAGGATCTTACTTCTTGAAGTCTTGGAGATGCCAATGGATAGAGAATGCTATTTACTTTCACTAAAACTTTTTAAAACAATTTTACTTAAATTCAGCAAGGGATAGGACTTATTGATATAGATGCCTGAAAGAATAAATCCTCTATTAGATTCGTTAAGATTCTAAATGATTAGATGAGAGACACCAAACATCCAAAAGGAAACCCAGCCACACCCAAACTTATATTCAATACAATTAGTAGCATTATTACAGTGGCCAGAAAATAGCTAATAGAAATAAGTTGAGAAGTGCGAGAATTTGTATTTCTGTAGTCTTGTCCCAGTCGAAGAGCACACTTAGTACTTTTGTTTTGCTTACCACAGATAATACAGTGCATTTTATAAATACATATCCTGTAAATTAAAAACATACATCTATGTATGGATGTGACTCCTTTGGATTTGATGCTCTTAGATCAGTTGGCACACTGTGCTGGGAATTTCCTGTGAATCTGATAAAATGTTGATGGCCAAAATTAGAGCTGAAATGAACGTTATGAATATATGAATATATTAATTTTGCAAGATATTATAAAATGCTGGTAATATATGACTTGGAAATCCAATTTATTTTTAGACTATTTGTGGAATGTAGATTTGGCTCATCACAGCTCTGTTGATCTTTTCATTGACCTCATAAGTATCATTCAATCTCTATGCATCAGCTTTTGGATCTGTAAAAATAAGATAAATATTTTTCCCACACACTTGGCACTCAGGATTCCTCTGTTCAAATGATAAACAGGGTGGTAATATATGGATTTGTGTACAGCTTCAAAACCCAGTGTCCTCTTTTTCAATGACAAAGATGGGCTCGCATTTATTTGGTGTTTCAGTATCAAATTTGAAAATCTTATAGTTAATGGAAAAAAAGAATTATCTACGTTAATACTGTGAGGATTATTCTGAAATACAGATGTCATTGGGAATGTCAGCTGTCTGCTACTTAATTTCCAAGAGTCATTTTTTGATCCTCAAATTCATAGAGGTCCTCAAGTAAAAATGACTCAAACAATTTTAAGACTTCAGAACATTTCAAAGCAAAATCTATTTATTTTTCCTCAGAGGTCTGTACTTTTGGCAAAATACTTTGCTTTAGAAAGTAAGAAAAAAACTTGACTTTTCTGGTAAGGTTAAAGAAATGTGTTTTTTCTGTCAAAGAAAAGGTTAAAGAAAAAGTTAAGCTTTATAATATTATTAGAGGCAGAATTTGAGACAATGGGTGAATACTTTAGTCAAGGCAAATATTCAGATTTGAAGGAGAAAAAGTTTTGTTGCATGATGGTTTTTAAAACTACTATGAAATTATTGAGTAAATAGAAATCTTCCCTTTTGATGGTCTTAGAATGTAGGGAAGACAGTTTTGAAATGACCATTCTAGACTCTGGATTTGAAAAACAAAACCAAACCAAAATCTCTTCTTACATTATGGTGTAGTAGACTCTTCAGAATACTGGCTCTGGAAACAAGACAGGATTACACCTCAGTTACGCTGCCTACTTTTAGCCTTAGGCATATTACAAAACCCTGCTAAATTTCAGTTTCCTCACCTGTAAAATACAGGGCTAATAATAATACCAATCATACCATATTGTGGTTAAGACGAAATGAGTTACTATTAACTCATTTACTATAAAATTGCCCAATATGTGCTAGCTGCTATTATTTCATTATACAATATCTGTTTTATGAATAACTGAGTTTCCTCAAAATTATCACAAAACAGTTGTAGAAATTAAAGCACAAAGTTACATTTGACATAAAAAAACGCAAATTTTCAGGAAAGAACAAAAGTATATAAATCCTATATTTCAAGTTGAGTACATGGATGGGCTTTTATTTAGTTGTCAAAGCTTTTAGATAAAAAAAGAAAAGTGAGAATTGAGAACAAACTATAGTTTTAGGAATTCTTTTACCTGTTGACAGATACCATTTATAATGATTATATTAAAATAGAAACAATTCAGGTAGGAATAACTTCATGTATTGAGGTAATTTACCATATTATTTCTATGAATATATTTCATTATAAACTAAATTAGTGGAAAATTTGTCCCTTTACAAGAAAGATGAAAGAAAAGACCAGAATTGAGCTGTTGATATATGTAAAAAGTTTATAACTACTACTGGTTATTGGGGTTTTATTGTAGTTAGATACAATACTTCTATAGCAGTGCTTTACTGCTATAAGGGATAAAATAGGCTATTTTTGTCTATTGTTTGCCACACAGGCATTTCAGCAACTCACCGCCATTACCTGAATTTCTCCCCACTAAAAAAGCCGTGTGTGTGTGTGTGTGTGTGTGTGTGTGTGTGTGTGTGTGTATGTGCGCGCGCGCGCGCGTGCATGTGCGCACGCGCGCCCCTTGAGAGACTTCATAGAATGGCATGCAGGTCACTAGCTACTACCTGCGGTAGGATCAGGTTCACTGAGAGTGCTAGCCAAAGCAGAGGCAGGACTCTCGCGTCTCCGGTTACTGGGCCCATCTGCTCTCAGCTCTGGTGGAGGTTTGATTATGAAGACTGCATTTTGCTTTGCAGACATGCACTTGAGTCTTATTGAGATAATTTGCTGCAAAGAAACTCTGGCTACTGCTCAGGTGAAACAGCTTTCTTTCCATACGGTTTCACTTTACTGGAGGTGAGATCCAAGAACTGCTTTTTAATGGGAGAAGAAGGATTTCTCCAAGTCGACTTGCTGGGATTTCTTTGTTCAATCTACTTTCTTTCATTTCAGATTGATTGAAGGACATCAGATAGGATTCTTGTTTCACCCTGCAGACTTCTTGTCAACTATCTTGCCTTTCACAGTCTCACTACACAGGGACATTTACAGCCTTCCAGCGGAGTCTGCCAGGCCTAGGTGTTATGGGCCATACCTCCAGGGATCACTACCATATGGTATTTTAGGGGAGGACACAGTTCATTTCAATGCAATTCAAATGAGCAGATTTCTTTTCTTTATTACACCATTGCATTTAGAGGCAACCCACCAGAGGCCAAATCTAACTCTCAAAGGAATGCTCTGCCCACTCTGTCCATTTAACAGGACATTTGGCTCAAAAAATCTCGTCGGTTGATCACACATGTGCAACAGATGTGTGAGCATGCGTAGCGAAAATAAAAAATAAAAAATCCCAGCAGTGTACTGTGGGAAATGTAGCAGAACTACTGGAAAACAGGACACAAAGAAGTCTGGTACTAAAACTTTGATTTCTGTTGTTGGAACGGCAGTGTTTCTTTTTAATCTTTCTCTCCTTTCGTAGGAGGAGAAGGTATAGGTTTCCACTATGATTCTGTAGTGATTACTCCTGTAACACCAGTGGGGGAACTCTGTTCATTTTCACAGACCTCGTCTTATAAAGGTACAATTCTAAATATTTTGACCAGACTTTCTTGGGTCCCCACCCCTCAGGAACTGAGTGTTGGCACACTTCCACTGGAAAAAAAGAAAACCAGCCATTTACAAGAGAGGATATCAGAAATATACATCCTTTCATCCATGCCCCACAGGCTTACAGGGAGGAGAGCGCACCAGCTGTTTTTCTCATGGTGAATAAGGGTTACTTGGGGAAATCTCTCTTCCTGTTTTTATATGGACAACTAAATTGTTGCATAGCCAGTTAATTTTGGTTAGGTCAACAGCACAAGGTTAATTATTGGAGCCTTCCTCTTTTGCCTGTGTGAGAGTAAAAGATTACTAGTAACCAAAAGAAAATGAAATATAGTGACTTATACTAGAAGGAATGTTTATTTGGAAAATGTTGATTTTGTTTTTATTGTATTAGAAAAGATGTACTTAGTCATCCTTTGTCTTTTAGGAAAAAGTAGAAATTTGAAAACCTGAGTGATATGAAATTAATCAGATTCAAAAGGATTTTATAATATGTTAAAATATTTAGAAAAATAGATTACTTTTATTGTATAATAATGGGGACTTTAAAAAAAGAAAACTGGAACAATTGGCTAACCTATGCGGTAACTTTGAGATTGTGTTTTTCTACTGTCTGCTGCACCTTAATTTGGCTTGGATAATTCTATACCTTTTTCAAAACTATGTTATGATTTTACATCCTCTTTCTAACCTTGGATTTAATTAATGCATTTAAAGACACATGGACTGATTTCCTTCTGTGTGCTATATTTTTTTAATCCAACTGCATGTTATTATATAACCTCAGATTAAGCAACCATATCACTGCTGATACATTCTTCTTCTGTCCTTCAGATTTGTCTGCATTACATATGGAAGCAGAAACCCACCCTGCATTGTTATAAGGACGGCTTTTCATTCATATTCTTGTTACTCTTAATAAATGTCCCAAAGAAAAATATTCTGCAGCAGCCACTCATAAAGAAGCAGGAATGGCAAAACCACAGCCTAGAAGGAAACCTATGTGAAAACACTGGTTGCGTCTTCCTGGATACAGAAAACAAATAGAGCTTTTGAAAGAGCTTGCCAATACATGCCTGCCAAATAAAATATTGTTTTATGAAGTCAGGAAAAAACTAATTTTAAAGGTTATTGTAGGTTATTTGTGGTCACTTCTGGTGTGCATACAACATGATGTCATCCTGAACCCTTCTCTATTTATATTTCAGTCTCAGAGGTCCTTTGTCTCAGACTGGATCTCAGCTACTAGAGACATCTAAAATACTCTTATTATTCAATACTCATAAAAATCTAGACTGAAAAAATTAGAATAGATGGAAAAAGTCCCAGCCAAGTCCAGGCAAAAAATCACTCAGGCAGATCCATCTTCTGAAATCATACCTACACTGTAGACATCTTCTCAGGACACATTTGCTGGAGAGCTTCTCAAGTGATTGGAAAGTAAACCATATGTCCAAATGGCTCTTCTGGAAAATTATTGTCCTTGGAGTGGGGGTAGCTAGGACCACTGCCAGAGACATCTCATTCGAGGAAGGGATTCCTTGGGCAGTTCAATTTCTTTCTCCTACTGAGTAGGCCACTGCGTATAACTCCATTTTTCACTTTGCCTATGTGATCTCCTGCAGCAAATCTTTTTCTTTCCTGTAGCAGGGTTGGGTTTTTTGTTTTTGTTTTTTTCTCTCCGTGGGATTTTTTTGCTTGGAAAACCCCTTTGTGAGGTAGTCCTCAGTAAACTAGGAAACATCAAATAAACAGCCTAGAAGGCCATTGAAAATGAGGGAAGCTAAGAAATCTCTTGAGAAAAAAAATAAAACATTTGGATATTGGAACGAGCATATCTTCTTACTGAAATATAAAAGAAAATGTGTGTTTATAGTGGGGAACTGATCTAGAAAGTTTATCAGGGTACCAAGCTGACATCATTTACATCATCTTTAAATTTATTCAAATAATGTTTTTGAGCATTTTGATGTGCCAGACATGCTACTGTTAGAGAACAAAATAAATAAGTTATAGAGGAGGAGGTGTTAGGGGCTGTGGAGAAAAATAAAACAGGGAAGAAGTGTATGGAGTGCTGGGATAGGGGAGTTGGACATTTAAATTCGGGGATTTGGTGATACGCAAGAAAGCAATGCTGGGACAAAGCATAAAGTTGTGGAAGGAGCCTACAGGTGCAGGAACAACAGCGAATGTCAGCCCCAGGCCAAGGGGACATGTGGCGCCTTGGGGAAACAGCAGGAAGGCCACTGTTGGTGGTGCGCATGTTTGTGGGTATATTAATTGCACGTGCACATGTGTGCAATTGTATCCCCACCCTATGTACATGCAGACACTTTAAGATGCTGTAGAAATATGGAGCAAATTCTCATTTCAATGACAGTTTTGTCATTGAACATGAAGGTGTACTCACATTTCAGGTTTAGCTCAACTGTTCTTTGAAAATTTCTCTGCGTGAGAATGAAAAGAATCAGAAATTACAGTGAGGTGAAAGATGATTCTGATGTGTTTGTGGGTATTTCATCATCTGAGTGATTATATTATGCTAATGTTTTACAGTATATTAAGTGCTCTGGAGTATAAACAGATTTCATCATGAGACTGGCAATGATTTCTTACTAATCCTTTCTTTTTGGGAAAATTAGCCTGTGAAATGATCCCCTCATCCCTCTTTGAATCACTTTGAAGATGATACAAAACATAAGATGCAGTTCTGAACAAGAAAAGCTTTAGAGAATATGTAGTAACGATAAGACATTGAAGTATATCGTGAATTAGTAAACAAGGTATAGGAGAAATGACCAAATCTTAATCACCCATTTGGTACAATTCCCAACCACACTATGTGCTTGCTTGTCAACATGGGATAGTTTTAGAAAGGCATGATTTTGAGTTTCCCTGTTTTTGGGTTGATTGTATGGGGATTCGTCTCCGGATAAGAGTATTGCAAGGAAGACTAAATTTCAGCTAGCAATGGGGAGACAAGACTGGAACTACCCTTTATTCTCTTTTAAATGTAGAAGGAAGAGAACACATTTGACTCCCTGATGAAATTATAGACACTCTTTGACAACATCTACAATCTGTGTCCTTTTGAATGCAGAGGTAGCAAAGCACCCAGGAGCTATCTGCCACCTTGCTACAGGGCAGGTTCATAACTTGTCCTCCCTGTTCCCACATGAAGAAATGGAAAAACAAGGGGCTCTGTCCTCTAAGATGCTCTTCAGTGATAAAGCTTGGGGAGAAAAAAAAAAGGACAAACCACATGTGCTTTGTGCAAGGTTAACTAGGAGCAGAGAATGGGACTGACTTGGGGTGAGTCCTGTTCTCTCTGCCAGCTATTCCTGGGGCCCACGTCATGGAGTGAACCTCAGCCCGTGAGCACCTCTGTCTCCCTCTGTGCTGTTCCACTCAGGGTAAGGTGTTTTTGGAGGGTGAAGCTGTCATTCCTACAGCCCCGAACAATCTCTAAATGCCAGCTCTGCCCTGGCTGTCAATGAGTCTGCATGATTCCAGGGCCTCTCAGCTGCCCTTTATGTTCCTCCCCCATGAATGACATTAACCACTTAGCTCCCTTATAGGGATCACTATAAAATATATTACAAGCTATTGCAAAAACTTCCTGCAGTTCAGCTCTGGGGTTTATTTAGGTCCTCTTCATGCAAAAATATAAAAAAGATGATTATACTTCAGGATATGAAATAGCATATTTCCACACAGGATTAAAAACAGTAAGGCTGTGGCAGCCACTATTTACAGGAATGATAAAAATTTCCAAGCAAGCGTCATTTTGTTTTGGTTTTGTGTTATTTATTTATCCATTTATTGATTTAGATGAAAGTGCTTTGTTTTAATAGAAAAAAGTTCACCTAGTAGAGGAGGACTTATAATGAAAAACAGCAGTTCTCTGACTCACCCATCTTTCTACCTACGGTCCTGTTCCAAAGAGGCAGCCACTTGTAATTTTTAATTTTCTGTTCTGCTACTTGTTTTTTCTTAATCTAAAACATTTATTTCTCTAAGACTTTTCTTAAGAAAACTTTTTTTAGAGAAACTTTAGGATCACAGCAAAATAGATGGGAAAGTATAGAGATTTCCAATACACCCCTGCACAATCTCCCCCATTATCAACATCCCCCACCAGAGTGGTGTACCTGTAACAAATGATAAACCTGCATTGACACACCATAATCATCCAAAGTCTATAGTTGACATTGCAGTTCACTGCTGGGGTTGTGTATGTGGTGTATATTCTATGGGTTTGGACAAATGCATCATTATGTTGTCATACAGAATTTTTCAGTATCCTAAAAATAATTGTGCTCTATCTCTTTACTTCTTCCTAACCTCCACCACTGATATTTTTACTCTCCATAATTTTGCCTTTTCCACAAGGTAACATAGAATCATATAGTATGTGGCCTTCTCAGATTAGCTTCTTTGACTTAGTAATATACATTGAAGATTCCTCCAAGTCTTTCCATGGCTTGATAGCTCATTTATCTTCAGTGCTAAAAAATATTTCATTGTCTGGATGCACCAAAATTTATGTATCAATTCACCTCCTAAAGGACATCTTGGTTACTCCCACATTTTTGCAATTATGAATAAATTGCTGTACTTGTATTTGTGCAGGATTTTTGTGGATATGTTTTTATTTTCTTTGAGTAAATATCAAGGAGGTCAACTACTGTATCATATATTAATATGTTTAATTTTTAGGAGACTGGAAAACTGCCCTCCATACCATTTTCCTCTGCAACATTTGGACCATTCTTGCCTTTCTAATAATTTGTAGTGGTATCTCATTGCTTTAATTTGCATTTCCTTAATGGCACATTATATAGAATATCTCTTCATATTATTATTTCCACCTGTATATCTTCTTTGATGGTGTTCCTTGAAGTGTTTGGTCCATTATTTAAATCAGGTTGTTTTTCTTATTGCTGACTTTCAAAAATTCTTGTATATTTTGGATAACAGTCTATTAGATGTGTTATTGCAAATATGTTCTCCCAGTCTGTTGCTTATTTTCTTATTCTCTTGATATTGTCTTCTGAAGCGCAGAAGTTTTTAATTTTAGTAAAGTCCAGCTTATCAATTCTTGCATGAACTGTGCCCAGTGAATAGCTAAATGGAGCTAAATGTTCCACTTTCATTAGTCCCTTATTCTCCTGTATTGGTTTTTTATTTTCCTTGAGGATTCTACTAATATATCTCTTTTTCCTACTGCGAGACAAAATATATTTTAAGGAATATTGAATATCTTTCATCTGCTTATTCATTTTCCTTTCCCATTTATATTTTTTATATATTTATTTGAACTGGACCTCTGGGAACATAGAACTAAATGATAATTTTTGATTTATACTTTATCATCATTGGTCCATGTATTGATACATGCATTTATATTATACTGAACTCTCACAACAGTAACCAAGAACTAAATGACTAATAATGTTTTATTTGGTTTTGAGTTTTATAAACAGGCCATCATGCTATATGTAATCTTTTGAGACTAGCTGTTTTTCTTAACATTATATTGCTAAGATTCATTGTATGTTGGCACATGTGGGTATGGTTAACTTATTTTTACTACAATATAATTCTGCCTTGTGTTAATATAATATAATTTGTCATCTTGGTAATGCATATTTAATAGTTTATTTCATATTATAAAGAGTACAAAAATGAATATTTTTGTACATGTTTCATAGTTCATACATATGAGAGTTAACTTAAATGTACTCATGGTGAAATTGCTAGGCTATTGGGTATGTGATTATTCGATTTCAAAAGAATGCAAACATGTTTTACAATGTGATGAACCAAAGGATGCTTCCACCTTTAATGTAAAAAAGATTGTATTCATCTATATATTCTCCAATGGTTGGTATTAAATGAGTTCTTAATTTTTGTTACTTGAATAGATTAACGTTGAGAGTTTCACTTGCCTGATTATTTTTTCCCAGCAGTTAAAAATGGTCTTATTGAAATATAATTGCACAGGGTAAGGTCATCATTCAAAATCAATGAGTTTGGAAATATTGTACATAGGCTTATAACCACCACCACATCAAAATATAGATAATTTCCTATCACTCCAAAAAGTCTCGTCATATATGCTGCTTTGTCATCAACCTTTCACAGTCCTATCCCTGGAAAACTCCGTCTGCTGTCAGTATAGTTTATCTTTTCTAAAATGTCCTA